GTGAGAATTATTCATGAGAATTATTCAATTTGTTTATATTATTATTTAGCAATGAATTAATCTTAACATAGTAATGTGTTTTTTTTATAAAATCTATATCACGTGAATCCGTTGTAACGCGATTAGTACTTATTACTAAAATCCTACCAAAAAATCCGTTATCCGTTGAAACGCGATTTAATATATTAATATAAAATCCGTTGAAACGAGAATTTTTTAATTAATAAAATCAAGGGGTAAAACCAAAAATCCGTTGAAACGAGGGTTCGACTGTAGTTAGGTCGATAATCCTTGATTCGATGGATCTATCAAGTATAGCAAAACATTAATTATCTATCAAGTAATTATGGTAATATTATGTGTGTTAACAGACTTACTGAACTCTTATGTTATTTAATGATAAACGTTGCATAACTTTTTGATAGATTGCTTCTAAGTCTTCTCCTGAACTTAGTAAGTTTTTTATCTGCAAAACAACACAATAAAAATTACTTTGAAACTCTATTTGATAAATTTAAATCAAAATAAACTTACTGAATTATTAACCACTACATCATTCACAATTTCATTAGTATTAATTGAAGTGATAGTAGAACTTGAGGCGGAACTTTCAGATATTATGATTGGCATGATAGGTACATCTATTTTTTTATCTTCATCTTCAGTTGACTGTCGTTGATGTGAATAATAAGAGGTTATTAAAAAAAATGCTCACTGCAAATTCAAGGAAACATAAAACTTTATCATTATCTTGACCTTTTTTGAAATTGATAATGGTTTTTGTCCAGATGATGTACCTACAGATTTTTCTTGAGCATGCTTTTTTGGCCTTTTTTTTGATTAATTTTGAGAAATATTTATCATTGTAAGTTTATTCCAAAGAATTTTTTATTAATGTTAAACTAGAATGACAATGCATCACAACCACCACCATTCTTATAATAATTAACTAGAGTAACGATGAGTGGCGGGTGATAACCACCACTACCATCCTTATTCTTAAAACACTTACTCACGTCGTTCTTTGTCTTTTCCTTTTATTTTTCTTCTTTTTTTATCAGCAACAGCAGACATCTTTTTTTTTTTAATAAAAGAAGTTTGTGATTTGATCGACGCGTACACATTAATTATTTATCCTATTGGGGGGTTTTTTTTTTGGAAAAACTATTTTTTGACAGAGTCCAAGGTGACAAAATGCGTGTATAAAATATCACATTTCTGGTTAAAACTTCATGTGAATAATTAACTTCATATTAACTATTTTTATATAGGGATATTCTATATATCAACAAATAGGACATTATAAAACTAATTGTGATGATAATACAGTCGAACCCTCGTTTCAACGGATTTTTGGTTTTACCCTTGATTTTATTAATTAAAAAATTCTCGTTTCAACGGATTTTATATATTAATCGCGTTTCAACGGACAACGGATTTTTTGGTAGGATTTTAGTAATAAGTACTAATCGCGTTACAACGGATTCACG